AACATTTTCATTAATATTACAATACATATGTAAAATACTATTAATTTTTTAATCGTTCCCTTTAATTCAATTGCCAATCTTTGAATTATATGATCGAAATATAAGCAAAGAATATAGAATTGGCAATTTACTTGGAAAGTGTAAGCAGATAAGACGGTAGAGCTACTCCATTCAGTGATTTTAAGCTGCCACTTAACTTTAATAAGGCTTGAGTATCTCCCAATAAATGCTCTTGATTGTATTATGTCAGACGAGTGTAATTAGACGTTGAAGCTCCTGCTAAACCTGTTTTCTTTCTCATGTCTCATTGCTAATGGTAAGAGCATTATAATCGTTTTCGCCACTGACTTCTTACGAACGAGCTGAACAACGCAGCACCTCTATCATGAAATATTTTCGAAAAAACGAAAGTCATTAAGATAGAATTAACTTCAAAGAAGATAAATTACAAATCGTTAACATCTATAATTTACACATAACACAAAATATTTTCATCGTAAACAGAAATCATATTAAAATTATCATTTTGCAAAATATCGAAAAGATATTTTGAAAACATTTAATTTCGCATTCAACTTTTCCCAAGTAGCAGCTTCTTTGCTGTTTCCCTTGCATTCTTTATATTTTCGGATAGTTTTTGTCAAACGACAATTTCGGACGATCGAGCATTCGCGTTTAGAGCACAAAGAATCCGACTGCCGCGTAGTCTAAAATTTTTCTAGCCATTCTTTGATCGGCTGCTTGTTCGGAAAACATCACGACGCTCGCCACGCGAAATTCTTGTCGTTACGAAACGGAAATGAAGTCTCCTCTTTGACGTGGCGTAACGGTGAGAAACAAGACAGGCTTTAAAAGCTTGCCGAAACAATTTTCGGGATGAGGCAGACGACGATAAATCGTAAGCGCTGCACGGCGGAACACCGTAGAAAGAAAACAGTCTTCCGAGCATTTGTTATTCCAGCATCGTACGCCCGGTATATCTATAAAACTGCGTACACATCGAGGGAGAATGCCACTTTGAAAACTGTTGTCGTGTTTTCCGTGGTACCCTGACGTTACAAAGTAATTCGCGTGTGTTCGACGCACACCCGTCGTTTTCTTAGAGCTGTCTAGCAGCGGAATACGCTTTAGTTTTTATATTGTACGCATGACAACGGTATATATATCGAAACTACTAAAATATAACCTGACAAGGTCGTCTAACTTGTTGCCAATTCTCATTTGTACTTTTATTGCACTTCAATTTTCATAATGCATTAAGAAAGTCGAATAATGTAATGAATTTTTCTATCTATGTAGATAGATATTTATCTGTTATATGTAGAAAATAATTGTTATTAAATTGATTTTTTGCATTAATGAATATAGTCGATGAAATGTTTGTTGCGTTCGTTTGTTTTGCACTGGCATTTCATTTACTGTGAAATACGCGGATTTCTTTGTATTTCATGATCTTTTAAATATAAAATGCGTAACCTTACTTTTTAATTAATTTTCTTTTGTTTTTATATTTTTTTATCCCAGCGTTACTAGCAGTTTTATACCTCTTTCCCCTATGTCACAATACAGGCGGCAGAGCTTCAAAAGACATAACTGAGCAAGCATTCGGTAACGAAATAACAGTAGATATTTTTATTGTAACCGTACAGATGTTGCTGACAGCTCCAATTTGTTGCAATATACGAATTCCGGTTAAAATTCGTTTCAAATGAACGTGTAGAACTATTGATAACCGTGTTATTGTATCCCGGTATGCAACACGGGCATAGAAAAGAAAGAAGAATCCGCTGTTCTCGGTAGTTAGAATTTGGCGTTAACAACGAGATACAGTTTAACGATACTGTTCCAACGGAGGAACGAATCCTACAGCGAGAAAGGCATGGTAAAAGGACGAATGAACATTCGCGTAATGATATTCGCGATAATATTCAGCAAACAGACATTGTACACCGGCGCCTTTTCACAATGAGTGCACTCTTATAAACAGAACAGCGGTTGAGTACGCACGCGAAATGGAAACACGGTTGAAAATTCGATAAAGCGGCGTTAACCCGGTGTATCAAATATTACAACAAATGCGTTAATTAGATACATTTCATTAATACAAATACTTCTCGATAAGTATATAGTTTACGATTTCAGCGTATTTAACATGCAATATTCCCTTTCTCTCACTTCACATTCTACTGGAATTGAAATTATTGATAATATTCTAAAATTTACGAAAAAAAATGTTCCACAATGCAAAGTATTATAAACACAATATTTTTACCAAACAAAAAATCAACAAACATCGTTCTCGATAAATGATTATCATCGAACTTCTTTCGCTGTTCTCACTTTTAATTCATCGCTCGAATAGAACTCCGGCGGACGTTGCTTACACGATATCCAGTATAAAGACTGGACTTATTCCCCTTGTAGTAGGCGAAAAAACGAAACTGAAAAATATGAAGAGAGGACGAAGACGCGAGACAGGAAGGGAGGAAAAAAGGGGGAGCGCGAGACGATAGAAAGAGAAAAATCGGTCCAGTCGGTGAAGTGCGTAACGGTGCGTCGCCCAATATTTCTGCCGAGACGATCTTCCGTAGGTTTTTACGTATCCTCCCTCTTTTTGCTCGGGTCCATTGCTGCTTCCCGATATCCCCCGATACGGGGGCCGCGAGTTTGCGGGCGGGCGCACATAAGTTACGTTTCCGACCGCGTTACGCGGTGTTGGTGACGCATACATTTTTCCTGGCGCCCACGTACGCCGTCGACGGACACGGGTTTCTAGCATCTGGTGCAAAGTGTGCAGCGGGAACGGTACAGTCGGTAACAGCGTAACGTATAGCGGCGTCTGTGATAAAACCGTGAAAGGCAGGGAAGACGGGTAGCCTGCGATAATTCGAACTGCTTTATTTCCTGGCTCTGGTGAAAAGGCGACATCGCTGAAGACTCTATCCGCCGACCGAAACGAGTAACTTTGTTTTCGTCCACTCGGCCCGAGCTGTCCTGTTAAAGCGCAATCACGCGGAATTCCGACAACACTCGGGACACCCCTCAGCGCCATCAGCACCGGAGTCACCGTAAATGAGGATGGAAGGCAGTTTTATATGTACATTCGAGGGGCCACTGCGATACGGATAAACGATACAGCGGTAACGAATGATGTTCCCGTAATATTTCAACGGGTTCTCGCTGCCTTTTGCTCGGCCGGTCGCCGTTCCCTCTTTTTCTTCTAGACACTTCCGGGGTCAAGATTCACGAGACACGAAAAAGGAAGAGGCGAAAAACGAAATAAAGAAAGGCGACAAAGGCTGGGCAAAAGAATGGGTCAGGAAAAGATAAATTGGGATCACGGATGCGTTTTCGTAAAGGCAGTCGCTGCTGACTTGTTCGTGATGTTCTTAACGAACACGTGCATTACGTACGTGTGTAAGTAAATTGTACGCCGGAAGCTCGAGAAACGTGGGAGCACGGAAGAATTTGTAGCCTTGTGAAAGAAATAATGGCTTCCCGGATTAAAAACGTTTTCTTGATTGTTGGAGTTTCCGAGTGACGAACTTCAAACGGTTAGATGAACATTATTTGAACTGTTATAGCGGTGGACAGAATTCATGTAAAATTGCGCGAGGTTCTGGGATGATACTTCGTGAAAATCATGTCAGAGACAAAAAACTGTAGCTGTGCTTTAAAGAAAATCAAATTTTCAAGTAGATTCTATGTGCGAGTTTGTGTTATGTAGAAATTGTGAATTACAATCCAATTCTAATTCGACTACCATTCAAAAGTTTTCTCGTCTAAGCATAGTTGCATCGTCATTGCGTACACATTTGATGTGCAAAGTAATTAGTTCACGTATACTACTCAAGTTAATTTACTTCCTTTGCTGGGTACAATTACGAAATGTGTTCCTTTAACGCATTAATCATGAGAATCGCCATCTTTTTTTCACTCGTGAAAAGTGTTTCACTACTCCCATCTAAACATTCCCATTTTACAGTCTACTGTCACACGACAACTTCATAAATGCAGAAATTCCAAAATTCCAAAATTCCAGAAATGTAGCAGAAAATCGTTATCAAAGTACGTATCGCCACACTCCTAATAATATCCCCACAGCACAGCCAATCCGAAGTGCGCGCCAGTCGCAGAATCGAAGTCACCGTATCCATTTGTTCATTTACTAACACAGAAAACGCCAGCATGCCGATTGCAATTCAGCCGGCGGCCACGATAATCGATATACCGCATATTCCACGGCGAAGGTGGAACTGGCCGGTATCATTACTCATTAGCGGAGGCCATGCAGAGCTCATTATCCCCGAAAAAGATTAGCCGCACGACAGTTGGAATCGGGTCGCCGAAAAATCTCGCGGAATGGCATTCAATCGCGGTGTCCGCGGGCGTCGCGCGATGGTTAGTTTATTCGTCGATAAATTTCACGGGCCGTAAATCCCGCGTAAATGTAATCGTCGAGCGGGCGACGACGAGATACAGGTCCCCGTTACTCATCGGTGCTCTTAGATTTCCCGACTGCCGGCGGGGATGCCACCCAGCAACGACCGCCCGCCGCCATCGCGCCGGAACTCCCTGGGAATCGTTGTTGTCCGAGCGCCTTCAAGCGAGAGGTCAGCATATGTTGTTACGCGGTTCGACACCCCGGCGGACAGGTGCCGGGGATGCCGGCTCCGAACAGGAGGATCCGTTGGCCCTGTGACGGGAGATACCGTCGGGCTGCGTGCACAGTATGTTTGCGGTGTACCGCGTACAAACTGGCTGCGCGACAGAGGCCGCGAAGTTCCGGGTGCAAACGCTGGAGAAATATAAGGTCCGCGGTCCTTTGCCACCGGCGGAGGAAGGGACCAGAGACCGAGGCCCGTCAATGGCTCTAATGCGGCTGAATGATGATACGTAACAAACCTTATTCAACAAAAAGTTTCGGTCGGCAAATTGAATCTAGGGGGTCTCGGACTGTGCTTTCCTTCTCCGTTCGTTCCCTCGCGCGTTCTTCGTTCCGCCGCTGAGAAAGGAGGTGTGGAATAAGATCGCGGCTCGGCCCGGTTGATCGTGTGCGTGTTGCGGGGGCGAGTGGCGATGGTCGAGTAACGAGCGCGACGCCAGAACCTCTTCGCCCCTGGAGAGACCGAGACGGACGATCTTTCGGATGGTTCGGGCGAACGGCCGAGTGGAGGGGATGAAAGGGCGGTCTGCGCACGCGCGACTCGCGGCGGAACAGCTTCGCGCGGCGACGCTCAGTCTCGTCTGTCGCAATCCAGTGCAGATATACGTGCAATTATCCTGTCAACAGTGCTTAAAATCTCTTCTGGTGCTCGCTCGTGGCGTTCGCTCCGCACAGCCCGGTGATCGATACAACGGTCCCGGTAAACCGATCGTCGATCGTCACTTTTCAACGAGAGCCGGTCGTACCGAGTCCTCGCGAGTCGAAGGAATTCCGCGCGACGTCCGGGCCACGTGAAACGAAAAATTGAAAGCTGAGTTCCGCGCTCGGCCGTGCTCGCGTGTTCACGGGCAAATTCGAATCGGCGCCCGCGGTCGCTCGACTTGTACGCCGGCAAGTACGATCCAGTCGGCACCGTGCGCTCCGCGGGGAGAGTTTGACGTTTCGTTCCCGGTGCCTGACCCTCTTCCCCTCCAACTCGTCCTTCGGCCCGTCGGTGTGTTGTGACATTTTCATTCGTTCCTGAAAGAAGGATAGTGTCGCGCATCTACGTTTATACCCGATACATACGGCCGCGTGTTTTACGATGATCGTGTCGCGAGATCGATGAGCATCGTTGCTCGGCCGCGCGCCCATCGATGTGCCGCCGAAGATTCCCAACCTGTTCACGCGACTAGCGAGAGGAAGACGCGACGTTCCAGTGCTGTGATATATTGTGTTCCACGGGAGGAAGCACTGTGACCGCGAAAATAATACGGAACAATCGAACACGACATTTCTTTTGTCCGAGATGACTCGCCACCTGTGGCTAAGAGCTGCGTTCACCTTGCTCGCGGTGTCAGGTAAGCTCTGTCGCCTGGAATCGTTGACTCGAGTGTCAGCGACTGCCGCGAAACGATACGCGTGGGCATGTAATTCGCTTCG